TTTTGGCCAAGAGACCTGAGACAGCATCCTTAGACACTGAAGATAAATAGGATTGGAGGGAGAAGGAAAGGAAACCAGAAAAGTGGAGAAGAAGGAGAGGTAGCCAGTGGATGAGAACCTGAATAACCCATCTGTCAATTGAAAATGGAAACCAAAGGCTGGCAAAGAGAGACAAATGGTCTCCCACACAGCCAGACCTGACAGGGTAGTCAACGATGAAATGAGTGACAACCCTGATGTTGGGAAGATGAAGGAGGCTACAAATATAAAATGGGAAGACTTGGATAAAGCAGGTCTAGAAGCAGAAACAGAAGGGCAAGGTTGAGAAAGACAAGAAATCGAAGTAGAAAAAGAGGACTGATGTAAGTCTGCCTTGGCCTAGGTAACCAGTAACACAAGAACACCCATGAAGATCTTTGGAAGAAAAAATGAAGCCTGACAAAGATTACAGAGATAAGCATGAACGAGGCATATGCTAGCTGGGAGGGCATCCTGTTCCAAAAACCAAACACCAAAGGTACCAAGTAAGGAGACACAGAGCAGACAATGAGGTACAGGCCAGTGTGGTGAAATGAAGAGAACCTCCCCAGAAAACCTCTCTGGAGCATGATGAAATGACACAAACTAAGGTGAAGTGATGAGAGTTAATGTAGAAAGGTGGTAAGAAAGAGACAATGGCATGAAAATCATGAACTAGAAATTAAAATAAGAAGTTAAGGATCCACACCCAAAGCAGGTAAAAGAAGTTCCAAAGACTGGAAATTGAGAAACTAAAATGAAGGACAAGGAATGTTAGTACGGGTGCAAATTTCTTTGAGAAACAAGTCCACCTGGACCTTAATACCAGGCAAAGGTGGGAAGACAAAGTAATGTTGAGTATGGGTTTCATATAATAAAACATCAGAGGAATCAAAAGACACAGGGGAAAGAAATTAAAATATCTGTGATATCATGTCAAGGAAGAGATTAAAAAGGTGAGGATTTTCCTCCACAGATAAAGCTATGCCCAAAGCAAACCCCGGTGGGAAAATAACTTGTCAAAAGCATCAAAATCATTCTGGTTATGTTCACATTGAGAAGAAAGAATGTCATTCAAACAGTAGGGAGGATGAAGCCCTGTATGCATGAAGGAACCCACAACACACTGAACATGTTTTTTTTTAGGTGGGAGATAGTTCATGGCTAGTGATATACAAATCTCATAAGAAGATGCATGTAGGAATCACATTATTATCTGTGTGTATGGAGACAAGGTATCATTTCAGAATCCTCTGTACTGAACAGTGTTCTAAAGCCATTCGTTTCATTTCTTATACTTTTAGGAATATAATAATAATAGTTTAGGCTACCATCAAAATTACTTTTATAATTTGTTCCAATACTATTCTTTTCTCTTATTTTTTCTTGATTATTCTAACCCTCACCACAATCTAATCCTAGTTTAAAGCTACTTTTACAGTTAAGTTAAAGAGTCCTCACAAACAAGTCAGCCCCTATCATATATAAATATAAACCATCCATTCCAAAAAGCTTCCTTTTCAAATTAAACTGATCCCACAAATGTGATAATCAAATCTTCTTGTCCCTAAATATTAATGCAAGCCTATTATTCAGCCCTAATGAATTACTTATAATTTCATCCCCACAATTAAGTCTTGGCAGAATTAAGTTCTTATGGCACTTTTCTTTGAAGGGCTTGTACTTAATAATTAGCTCCTCTGACCTACTCTTTCCTACATCATTTGTCCCTATGTGCACTACGAAGATCATTCCCTTCCCTTCCCTAGTTCCTCATCTCCACATTTGGACAGGTTAAGATCTCTGGCATTGCTTTCTCTTGAAAAAAGTTAGAGAATTTGATTGAAATGTTTAAGATTGTTTACGGAATTAACATTGTTGATGCATAATCTTTTTTTTTTTGCAACCAAATGATGAGAATGGTAGGACTAGGGGACACCAATATAAATTTTGATAGGGTAGGAGTTGACTTCAGCTAATACTAACAGGATGCTTAGCCTTTGAAATGGGATACATTCAGTTGAGGTGGATGCAGTAAATTTAAGGGAAAGGTTGACAAGTATCTCAATGAAAAGGTCTGGCTTTGAATGATTTTTTTTTGTTTGCTTTTAAAATTTAGTTTAGTGGATATGATGGTCTAGATGGACTAAGAAGTCCCTTATCGTCTTAATTTTTTATGCTATATTTAACAACAGATAAAATATAATAAGCAAAAATCCAAAGAAATGAGAACTTATAAAAATCATCTTATAAAATTATTAATACACATGTTAGCTCTAACAAGGAGGGAACTTTAGTCAATGTATCTCTCACCATTACTATTTTTTCAAGCATCATAAAATACAGTTCACATTAATAACATGAAGGTGAAATTATGTTTCTTACCTTTTCTATATGTAGTATAATTTGACTTGATTTTAACAAATCTAAGGTCACTACAAGAAGAAGGCCTCCCTTAATCAATTCCATTCACATCTGTGTCTTGCTATTCTTGATCATCAAACTCCCACTAAGTTATGAAACACTTCCTTTCATCTTATCTTTGGTCTTCTTCAGCTTCTCCCACTTCTTTATCTTATTTTTCAGTTTGTCATTCTTTCTGTGACTGTCCATTGTTTGTCTGTTCTTTCTCCCATGTGTCCTGCTCAATTCTATTTTTTTCTTTGATGGTAAGTAAGATATCTTTAAACTTGATTTCCATTTTGATTTAATCAATTCTGTTGTTGTTTCTTCTGGTGATATTAAAACAACTTATTTATGTGGCTTTGTGCAACATAGTTAGTTTCCACTCCTTACTTTCTATTAAGGCCCAGGCTTCCCTGATTTTTTACAAACTGGTTGTGAACATATTAAACATATAGGCAATTTTTACTATTGAAGATGTTCATCAATTTGCAAAATGCATTCATATATGTTTCTTCACTTATTTGAAATGGTCCAAACCCATTTACACAAGATGACTCAAGAAGATGTATTCATTTGCCTCAGCAATGTTACAACATCCGATGTTGTCTTCTCTTACTGCATATTTGATAAATAGTTTCAGTTTTATTCATGTTCTTCTTCAATCCAACCTTCTGACTCCCTAAATCTATTTCAATCATCAGTCTATTGAATTTTTGCATCCATTCAGATTAGAATAATATCATTTGCAAGTCTAAAAAGATTTAACCTTTTTCTATCAACATTAAGTTCTTTATCATTCCACTGAAGCTAGTGGGAAACTTCCTCTAGCCATGTACTGATGTAGAGATTAGAAAATACTTTTGGAGGGATGGAACTACTATAACACAATAATCTAAATTCTATTGCTTAAATATGTTCACTTCTATTAATAATAATAATATTATTATTCATATGGTATAGCAATCCATGTTATTTTAAACTATTTATTACCTGCGATAATAATTGTTTCTACTAGAACTAGAAGAACTACTATTATTATTACTATTAGTATACACGAATACTAATACTATATCATATAGTATTTGTAATGCTGTGATTAGCAGGGGTTAACCTTTTCAATAAGTCACAACAAAAAAGCGACATATCAAAGTAGTGACATTTTTTCACTGGATAAACACTCTTCACCATTAAACATATTAACACTTCAGTACGCATTAAGCCACCTTTGTTTTCCTGAAATATTAATACAATACGCATAAACCGACTGAAATCATAGGCCTAGAATAATAGAAAAACTATTTAGTAGGATAAACAAGGGTTAGTCTACATTTCAATATCGGTCACGATATGCGACATTTTTGAGGTCTATATACTACATACCTTGAGAAAAAATATTTTATATCAACTACATACTTAGTTTTCAATATATAATTCATTACTTACAAATAAACGATTGTAAAATTAACTGCTTCTAATGTTCTATTAACAATCAATGTACTTTTAACTGACTTATCATGACGTACACTGCCATCTCGTGATTGAAGTGTTCGCGAGTTTGACATATGTTTTTCAAATGGTTTAGTTGTTGTGAAGGGCAAAGCTGCACGGTGGACTATCTGTTTTGTGCCCACCACGGGTATTCTTGTTGGAAGCAATTCTGGAATGGTCAGGCCATTGCTACGGCTAAACAATGTGACACTCAATGTGTGCAAAGTATGCCACTTCTAGGGGTATCAGGGGAGCGTACCCCGCAGAAAATTTTTGAAATTTTATTGCTGCGAGATTGAATCTCGAGCCATTTTATATGCGAATGCTGCATACACACAACGTAATGTATTGAATTTCAATACGAGTTCCAATACATAAGTTGTAGTTATACATGCCATGAAAAAGTGGTCATTCCATGACCTGACCGGGCTTACC